TTTTGTGTCTTTTCCAAGCCTGAAGCAGCAAAGAAAAAGGAGATAAATAAACTTTGAACTCTTCTCTGGAGCCTGGAGAGCTGTTTCCTCTCAATAAGGAGAATCGCTTCCTGAGCCCAGGTGAGAGGTGGTTTCTCCTTCAGTATGTGGCCTATGTATTCTCACAGGTATTATCTTCTGAAGGAGAGTTACGCTCATTTGCACCCCTGTTGGAAATGTTTCATTGGTACAGAAACAATGTGGAGACCTAGACATGGCCTTGTCTGTTTTTCTTTTTCTTTTTTTTTTTTTTTTTTGAGATGGAGTCTCACACTGTCACCCAAATTGAAGTGCAACGGCACGATGTTGGCTCACTGCAACTTCCGCCTCCCAGGTTCAAATAATTCTCCTGCCTCAGCCTCCTGAGTAGCTGGGATTACAGGTGCCCACCAGCACACCCTGCTAATTTTTGTATTTTTATTAGAGACAGGGCTTCACCTTGTTGGCCAGATTGTCCTTGAACTTCTGACCTCAAGTGATCTGCCTGCCTTGGCCTCCCAAAGTGCTGGGATTAGAGGTGTGAGCCACCACGCCTGGCCACCTTATCTTTCCTGGCAAGGGAATGGCAGGTTATGATCCTGGTTTGTAAAATTCTTGCAAAAAAGAGATCATGGTCTTCCTATTACTCTGGCACATAAAATAACTTTCCCAAAGAACAAATATTCACCATTATTTGGATGCATCTCCATCAATATCTTTATTTCTTTACACACAGCTTTGTCTGCCCTCTGAGTGTTCCAGACCTGGATGTGTTACTACTGCCTTGCCTTTCCTTCCTCATCTCTCTGGGTCACCTCCATAGCTCTGAGAAACTGAATTTGCATCTTAATCCTGCAGTGTGACTCCAGTGCTCTGTCACCAGCCTCACAGCCAGTATTTCTGGCATGGCCTTGGAAGAAGCCCTTGAATAAGACATTTTCTGGAATTGTTTCTACTTATCTACCTAGGTTTACTGAAAACATTGCTTTTTTTTTTTTTTTTTTTTTTAAAACCTTTCCTATGGTTCTGACAAACTTGCTCCAAAGTATTTATTTACAGTCCCTGTATCCCTAGAGGAGTACGGTAAAGTTTTACATCATATGGCTGAAAATAAAGCAATTGTCTACCAAATACTATATTCCTACAATTAATTATATTCATCGGCTATAGTATGAGATTTCTACCTCCAAAAAATGGAAGTCTTTTATTTTTTTTAAACTAATTTCATGAAAGTATGAAAGTTTGGCAGCCATCTCCAAAGATGATTACATATTTCAATTTGAAACATCGTCTACCTAATCATTGATTTTTGATCTTCTAAATGGCTTTTGTTTCTTTCTAGGTGCGTAGACCTAGTTTAAGAGGGGGATTTGTATTTTCACAGCACTTTTTATTTTAGCGAACCATCCATCACCAGTCCTACTTTCAGCGTCATTTAGATTTGAAGTTTCCATTCGGAGAGGCTTTGCAAAAAAGAAAGAAAGAAAAAAACTACACACACACACACACACACACACACACACACACACACACACCCCTGTAAGGACATAAGCATTTCACAGCACTATATGGGAAATGCAGCAGATCTGAGTGGCACTCACTGATTTTCTTCAGCATTTTGATTATGTGGGTCTGAGTTCAGATGAATCAAAGCAAAAATAAAACACAGCAGGCATCATGAAATCAACCGAAACTGCTGAAATGGTTGGGCTGAGCCCACAAAAATGGTTTCATTCTCTGAGACTAGAGGATGAAACTGGGGCCTAATTCAAGAGGCAGCTTCTGAGGGCTATCATCACTCAACTCCTCAAACCAAGAGATATTTTTCAACAATAGGTTTAGTCTTTATAAGCTGTAGCTTTGAACAGACTTCAGTAAATGACACAAAGTAAGTTCATCTCTATAAACAGCAGGACAAATGCACCACGCCACTTTTTAAATTACATAAATTTAATCCCTACAATGTTTGTACTATATTGGTAACTGACATGGGTGGATGAGGCCAGTGGTGGGATAAGACCCAAATGAAATATTTTTAAGACATTTTAATTTAATCAACAATCAGCTCAGGAAAGAGAGTGCAGTCGGGAAAACAACTCTGACCTTGTACAGACACAGCTGTTTCTATTCTCTGTTCAATCTTTTGTCCTGAAGCTTCTCAGAGCCTGAAAGTGTGCTCAGAAATTTGTTGTGTAAATGCCATTTTCAAAGAAGTATTTTCTTCATTTGTAAAGCAGAAAGACTAATATTTGCCCTACCGAATTCACAGGAGGCTGTGTGTATCCAAGGAGATCGTATATGTATAAAAACTGGAAAATGCAATTGATACGGAACGCTCTATCATTACTGTGTCTATGTGAGAACATTCTTAAAGGGCTCATGGGCTTCACAGCTGCTGACTGCTACAAGGCAATTCAAGTACCAGGTAGAATACTTATTCTCAGTTGCCTGGAAAACAATGAGATTTCTCTCTCTCACAGACATAAAAGTATTCTACATAATTGCCATTAACTGTTGACTGCTTTTGCTTTCATGAAATATCAGGTAAAATATTATTCAAAAGAGTCTTTCTGAAGCTACAGTAATTATAAGTATACTGAGATCATGTAATGTGAATAAATAACAGTTCGTTTTATTAATAGGTTCTAAAAATGTTTCTAAAGACCAACAGCCCTAGAATAGAAATGCAAATGAACAATGACCACTATACTTTTCCCATTTTCTCTTTTTAAAAAGAAAGTCTGCCTGAAATACACCTTCTATGGCTCCTTTCCTATCAGTTGCAATAATTTTATATCACAAAACCTAAAATTAAATTATAAACCAAGTTGTGTTTTCCAATATTTTTTCATGTTCATTTCACATAACATGGTTTGAACTTCTTTTTCTTATTTTCCAGAGCACCTAGGAAAGTTCTAGATGAATGACAGCCTCACAATAAATTCTTCCTGTGGTTGATTTATTAAGAACAAATAAGCTAATATTAATTATAAACTGCTCATATACTGCAGCATCTACTATTTAATGTTCCTAGAATCTTCTTTTTAAGAATGGTAATAAAAGTTTGCAGAAGGCTGGGTGCAGTGGCTCACGCCTGTAATCCAAGCATTTTGGGAGGCCAAGGTGGGTGGATCACGTGAGGTCAGGAGTTAGAGACCAGCCTGGCCAACATGGTGAAATCCCATCTCTACTAAAAGTGCAAAAATTAGCCAGGCGTGTTGGTGTGCACCTGTAATCCCAGCTACTTGGGAGGCTGAGGCTGGAGAATCACTTGAACCTGGGAGGCAGAGGTTTCAGTGAGCTGAGATCATGCCACTGTATTCCAGCCTGGGTGACAGAGCAAGACTCCGTCTGAAAAAAAAAAATAATAAAACAAAACAAGAAAAAAAGTTTGCAGAAGTGAAATTTTTATTAATCAATCATTTAATGGGAACACTTTCTCAAATTCAAAGCTAACTTCAGAATTAGAATCGGTAAGCCAGAAATATTTTACCTTTATATGCCAATGAGTAATTATTCCATACAAAAATGACTTTCATTAGACAACACATGACAGTCTTCCTAATGTTAGAGCAACGCTATCTTTCATTTCTTATACTATTTGTTTAAAATGCATATGTACTATTACTTTAGGTGAATATCCTATTCTTAGGCAGTTGAAATTAAATTTCTTCCTGAAGAGTTTTACTAAGCCTGACTGAACAAATGAAGTATTATTATTTAATACGTGTGTGATAAAGATCTTGGCGAGTCTCAATTTTACAGGTAGCATTTTCAATGTAAGTAGAGGAAAATCAGTACAAAGTCCATCTCCCTTTTGTATTAGGAACATGGCATTGCTTAATTGCTGACAACCTCAATTTACTAAGTAGGAAACTGTTAAGCATGCATCATTACGTTCCTTAGGACACCTCTTCGAGTGGACGCAATAATTTATTATCAAGTAGGTCTAATTCTCCATTGATTTACAAACTGGTAATAATACTCCATCTAACATAATGCTTTGCTAGGAGGAATCCAAATCCAGGCACTAAAATATTTACAGCCTTCCCAGGAGGAAGTGGGATGCTGGTGGTATTCTCATTACCACAGCTAAGACAATGGAGGGGTTTGCCTGAGGTCTCCTGGCAAGTCAGCTATTCAGGGAGCAGAATCCAGGTCTCCGGATGCCTTGCACACAATCATGAAAGCATAGAACTCTCAGGAGAGTTGTCTAAACCACGTGTCCCAAAAAGAAGAGGGAAAATGATGCCCAGGACGCTCGCTGCAGAATCCCCACAGTGCAACTGTGTCACTGTTTCCCTCTGACTGCACATAAAGCACACCGAAGGGTATCAAACAACATAAAATCCTAATGGTGCCCTTAATTAGGAGGGACCATCGCTCCAACTCCCTTACCTCCCACTGTCCAAGCTAGCAGCCCCAAATTCCTCTCTGGGGTGACTAATCCTGACACAAGACATAGTTACAGAAACAATCTTTGGCTTACAAGGGACCATCAAGCTCTGATGATGATGAAATTTGATAGCAATAATGTCAAACTTTATATGGCCATAATCCAAGTTTACAATGATACATTAAGCCATAATGCTACTATGTATATCACCATAAACTCAGTTTATGGTGATATAAATAGTCATCCTAATGGCATTAACAGCAGCACTCAGTGGAATCACAGCTGTTGAGTACCGCATTTATGCTATTAGCATTGCTATTTATATCATCATAAACTTAGGTAGTCAAACTTGTTACATATGAATACAGAGGAAAGATGGATATCCCCACTTTATGCCCAAATATCAGCTCCTGTACTGGAGGCTTTATGGCTGTTCCCCTCCTCTAAGTTAGATCTGCTTGGGTTACGTGATGTTTCTGTAGGAGCCACAGAAGAGCAAGTCTGATTGCTGTATCTTCTGAGCAGCCTGGAAACAATATTTAAATGGGATAAGAAAGTGCAAGCCATAGCTGCCATGCAAACTTACTGTCTCCTTGGCAGCGCAGAGGACCCACACTCAATTTGGCTTCTGAGCCTTGCCGGTCAGTATCTCCAACCACCACTTGGCTCACTGGCAGGTGATCTTTGTACGATAAGAAGCCAGCATCCTTCCTCCTGGATCACAGGGAAAGACAGAAAAAGAATGAGGAGGCTGAGTTAGAAATATGAATTTTCGGCTAGTTGCTTAAGGTGTCTAATGATGACATTTCAGTAATTGTTTGGAAGTTTACTAAGTAAAGCCACAGTTACAGAGTTGTTCTCTCTCTTCCATAGGTGGTCTCATAGAACATCGATCAGAAGCCCCTCTGGCATCTTTGTCCTCTGGAAAACAGAAGTGACACCCTGATTTCCAGAGATTCACAACCATTGTGCTGCATATTCTTTTAGGTTGAGAGTACACCACAGCATGGCAAACTCTGAGCACACATGCAGAGTTTGCTGCTGTCACGGAATCAGAAGTTCAACAAAGTCAACCTGCTCACTTGAATAATATGTGAAGCAAAACCCGCTTTTAAAACAACCTTTGTCTCTTTCATGGCTTTGAAGCAGTTCCTTCAGAAGTTTTCTTCCCTGTTGTACGTCAGTTAAATAAGGGACACCTTTTGTTCCTTCCTCTCTTCTTGTTTAACAACTGGAATAGTTTATGTGAAGTTTCCAACACAAAACAGGTGTTCAATAAGTGTCTATTTCCATCTACACTGAAGAGTGGAGCTGAGATTTGAGCCCAGTTGGCTTTCCTCCTGAGTTTGTTCTTCTGTTGACTCTATATTTATCTTGTTTCAGGTCTCCCAAGTCTACCCTGTATCCACCCTAAATGAAGAAGGACAAGGCTAGTTGCAAAGTACTGACTCTAGAATGGAGCACAGAAACCCAGGAGGGGTTCCTGGAGATGGGCTTAAGCTGAGTTATGTGCAGTGAGTTTTGGGGCCTGTGCAGCAGATTTCACCTTCACGGAAAATCAGTGCCCCTTTGTCCCCTTTTCCTGTTGCTGTGGCTGAGGGATCCCTCATCTGGGGCTGAATGGGTGAGAGACACAAAGCAGCGTGATGTCGTTCCTCAAATTTACCCTTTCAGATGATTTTTTACATGGTTCAGTCTGAATAGAAATAACAATTTTGAAAATGCACATAGAACTCGGCCGGGCGCGGTGGCTCACGCCTGTAATCCCAGCACTTTGGGAGGCCGAGGCGGGCGGATCATAAGGTCAGGAGATCGAGACCACGGTGAAACCCCGTCTCTACTAAACATACAAAAAATTAACCAGGCGCTGTGGCGGGCACCTGTAGTCCCAGCTAGTCTGGACGCCGAGGCAGGAGAATGGCGTGAACCTGGGAGACAGAGCTTGCAGTGAGCTGAGATCGCGCCACTGCACTCCAGCCTGGCGGACAGAGCGAGACTCCGTCTCAAAAAAAAAAAAAAAAAAAAATGCACATAGAACTCATCAGGAAAAAACCCACCCTGATTTTGGATGACAGGAGAATGACAGAGTTCAATAATTTAAAGATTTGACATTCATGTCTCTTGGCAAATAGTGCAGAGAATGGAGAGGAACCAACTTGGAGGCCTGTCTTGAAAATGCTATGCTGTGTGGAGCCGTTACTTATACCTCTGACCTTCTTGAATGTCAGTGAATATTTGTTTCCTCATGTGTCAGGACCCATAAAAACCCAGGAAGGAGTCACAGAACTTGGCCAGAGGGTCTCAAATAGATGCATTATATACTGCCTTAGTTATTTCATTGTTTTCAAAATGAAGGGTTTTTAAAAAATAATTATTTATCAAATCAGAATTAAGATTATGCAGAAAAGCATTGTGATTCTTACTGACGCTGTAGCTACTAAAGACTAGGCCTCAAATATCTCAGTGGAATATTTTACAAACCTATTCTCTTTTATTAGAAGTCCTATGAATTACAATCGTGCCAAAGAGGAAACAAAGCCTTTGATATTAGATTTAATATTTAGTGCTTGTTAAAGGAACAATAAATAAAAGCACCCTCTAACAGCATACGGTAATTTGACAACCTACTAGAAATGATGGAACTGAAGGCTGAGATTCAAGTTATTACTTAAAATTACATGACTCTAAATCAGAGCTCTGCAAACTAAGTCCTGAGACCCGAATTCTGTCCATCACTTCTTTTTGTATGGCTCAAAAGCTAAGAATGATTTTCACATTTTAAATTGTTTTAAAACAGAAGAAAAAATAGTATTTTGTGATGCTATAAGGTTCAGTGTTCATAAAAAAGTTTTATTGAAATACAGCCACTTTAAAAAATGTATTGTCTATGTATGATGCAATTACAGAGTTGAGAAGCTATGGCAGAGACCACATGACCCTCAAAGTGTAAAATGTATATTATCTGGTCCTTTCTAGGAAGAATTTGCCAATTCTATCTCATAATGGGGCATCATTGTCCATTTTTGCTTTAGGAATTTACTGAGCAAATATCCCACTGACTATCATGGTAGGCAACTGTTGTGTAATTCAATCAAGTTTCCAAAGTTGAGCAAGGGGTTTGGGAAGGGACAAAGGAGGGGACAAAAATATGTACTGAGAATAAATGCAAAGAAACATGCAAGAGGAAAGAAACCATCTACACTTCAATTTATTTATTGCAACAGTGGGAAATAAATTTAATTAATAATAAACTTTTAAATTTACTGTGCATTGTATAGCGGGCAGTCATATGTCAGCTTTGGTACAAGTGAGCTCTATCCTGTAGGAAGAGAAGGTGCTCTGCCAATTGTGGCTACTCTTCATTGTTTAACTGTTCCAGCATCTATAAGATAGTATGGGTAATTTTATAAATACAAGATCTTTAAATGGTGGAATCTCTATGACATTCTGTAGTTAAATGAATAATGATCATGAAAATCTGAAAGGTACAGCTCAATGAATTTTTACACACACACACATACATGCGTGCACGCTCACACACACACAACCCTGTGCAACCATGACCCACATAATGATTTAGAACAGCTCCAGCACCCCAGAAGCACCCCCATGCCCTTCCCAGTTAGTATACCCCCTCAGAAGTAACCATAACTTTGTCTACTGCCATCATAGATGAACTTTGCCTTTTCTTGACCTTTATGTACATGGAATCACCACAAATTCCTTTGTGCCTAGTTCCTTCTACTCAACTTTAAATATTTATTTATATGATACAAAAGAGTGTATCATATAAATAAAATATAATACTACACAACAATGAGAATGAATATTCTATTGTCATTTGGATGTTTCCACTGTTTGGCTATTATGAATAAAGCTGCTATGAACGTTCTTATAGATGTGTTACTTATTAGTATTCATTTATATTGAGCATTTACCTAAAAGTAGAAATGCTGGGTCATAAAGTACACAAGTTTAACTTTAGTGGATAATTTCAAACAGTTTTCCCAAGAGCATGTACCAATTTACACTTCTACCAGGGATGTATGAAAATTCAGGTTGCTCAAGATCATTGTCAGCACTTGGTAATGTTGGTTTATTATTATTATTATTATTATTATTATTATATTATTATTATTATTTGAGATGCAGTTTCGCTCTTATTGCCCAGGCTGGAGTGCAATGGCACAATCTCTACTCAGTGCAACCTCTACCTCCCAGGTTCAAGTGATTCTCCTGCCTCAGCTTCCCGAGTAGCTGGGATTACAGGTGCCAACTACCACACCTGGCTAATTTTTGTATTTTTAGTAGAGACAGGGTTTCACCATGTTGGCCAGGCTGGTCTCAAACTCCCCACCTCAGGTGATCTGCCCACCTCAGCCTCCCAAAGTGCTGGGATTACAGGTGTGAGCCACTGCTCCCAGCCAGTAATGATGGTTTATTTATGATCAGTGACAGTGTACTACCTTCTTATGAAACTAGTGCTAGGAGAAAGCATTTTTAAAACAAGTGTTTGGAAATAGTCCAATTATTATGTAATTGTGTTGCCCAAATTGATATGTGTATAACTATATAGGAATTCACATATCTACACAATCTCATAATTTGGAAACATAACTTTTAAGTGTTTGTAATAATTTTATAAATGTAGAGACTTTTAGTAGGTTTTGAACTTAAAAAAATGTTTAATAATAAAAGCAGGCATTACTTAATTATTTTGCAAGAAATACTGATTAACATCAGGGATGATAGAAATTTATAAGCCATGTTTTCTCAAAATGTTTGCATTATCGGTCAATGATACTGAAAATTTAATATCGTGATTCATTGAGTGAGAATGATAATCATTAAGTGAGATAGTGTACATTACTCCCATTTTACTGATGAGAAGAATGAGAATCAGAGAATTTATCTTTTAAAATCGAAGAATTTTTTAAAATCAAAGAATTTTTCTTTTAATTCTCCTTTATAGGTGAGGTGAAAATTACCTTTTAAAGATATATTTAGCTAGCCTGAAATGATGAGGTTATTTGTAAGTCATACATTCAAAGATATCTGCAATGTTTTATTCACATTTACCCCAATCTATCAACATGCCATACTAAGCAAAAGAGAATTCTAGAACTACCTCATGCCCAAATCAACCAATGTTTTTAATGATATATTGAAGTTTATAAGAGGTTGCCGTATAGCTAGTAGTAATAACACTCAGATATTCCTTGCCCAATCAACAAAAGAGGGAAAGAATTGTCAGCTGAGAAAATAATAAAAGGAGAAAATAGTATAAAGATGCCTCCTTGGTCACTTTTGACCCAAGATCTAAACAGGGATCCAGAGAATGTAAAGCCACAAACAATGGCATGTGGAAGTCTCAAACAGCAGACTCTACATTAGTTGTGGAAACTAATTCATGAAAGGCAGTAAAGTGGTTTAACCAGCACAAAGTTTTTGTGATCCTACAGCACAACCTACACTTTTTTTTTTTTAAATTTTAGAGACAGGATCTCGCTTTGTTGCCCAGGCTAGAGTGCAGTGGTGCAATCATAGCTTGCTGTAGGCTAGACCTGGATTCAAGGGATCCTCCTGCCTCAGCCTCCTGAGTAGTTGGGAGTACAGGTGCATGCTACTACGCCCACTGTTTTAAATTTTTTTTTGTAGAGACAGGTCTTGCTTTTGCTTTTTTGCCCAGAATGGTCCCAAACTCCTGGCTTCAG